TGTAGCAAGCGTGGGTAGAGCCCTTCTCAAATCTTCATTCGTGAAGCCTAGCCATGATGATGATGATAGCAGTATTGTCCATCTCCTTCTCTCTCCAGCATGATTCACATACCAAAGGCAGAAAGGTGTATGTGAGATATGGCTGTGTCCATTTACTCAATAGGAATCACACAAAGCAGGCAGAAGTTAAAGAAGTTTGGGAGCTGCTGAGTTGGGAACTCAACCACCATTTTCCAACCTCATTGCTGATGAAGGGCAATGGTTTAAAGGCAGATTTGCCTTCATGCATGGCCCACAGCCAAGTACAGCCAAACTGGCCTGGGGAATGTAGGGCAGTGGCAGGAGCCATTCCCTAAAGACCTGAAAGAACAGTTGTCCATGCATCTTCCCTCATTCCATTTGGTTCCCCCTACCTAGCTAACAGCTTGCAAACTGGCAGTAACCCAGAAAGCAGAGGGGAAGACACATGTATTCGCCCTCACACGTACCCACTTTTGCAAACTCTAATATTGCAATTCCTTAATTCTAATGTCTTCAAATCCAACTCACCAACAAGGCTATTGTCCTATTATTTTGTCCTATTACAAGAACTCCAATTTCTGCTAAATTACAAGTTTTTTGGCAGTATGAAACAGGTTGTGGCTGCAGACTCTGCACATGGCACACACTTGTGCCACTGGTCTGTGGCTTTCAGGGAACAACTGTTGTGCAGTCACAAAAACGCAAAGAAAGAAAGGAAAGAAATCAAATATTTACAGGAGAAAAAGTGGTCCCACCCCACATGGTACAAATTTAGGGATGCATTGTAGCTACATTATGTGCGTATAGCTACTGAAACAGTTTCCAACAGAATGTTTACACTGTTGTCTGGAAGCATATTGTTTGCCTACTTTTCAAAGCCAATTTATATGCAGCACACATCACAGCATGCACGAAAATTCAGACAAAAACACAGATGCATGCAACAATCCTTAGCCAGCTCTTGTTAGTCCTTATTGTTTGTGGCACAGAAGTACCTGGGAAAGAGGAAGAAGGGATCAACCCATTATGCTAGGTGATGTACTACCCCAAACTTAAAGACAGGTATTTTGCTTGAGGAACATACTATCTCTGTTTAAGACAAGGTATAACAAGTGACTGTAACAGAGAGTGAGGGAGTGACATACGGGAATGAATAATAAGAGAGTTTACATGTGCCAGCTTTATGCACTCATGTGCCAGCTAGTGGAATACTCAATGCATCTAAATACAAGTCTACTGAAGGCAACAAGTTAACTGTATCCAGTTAGCATTTTAGCAGGATATTCACAGAGAAATCAGTGAGAAATTTCAAGAAGTCCAGGGAAGGGCATCCCAGAGAAAAGTGGAATAAATGGAAGAGCATGTAACAAGGGAACAGAAGGATAAAGGAGGTTGGCATTGTCTAGGCAGCAGAGCAAGGAGGCTTAGGGTGCTGAAAGAGAAGCATGTGAAAGTCATGGATCAAAGAATTGAGAGTTCGTATCTAACTTGTTAAAAAAACAGTGGGACCAAGGAGGACTGCAAAATGCAAAAGAGGATGAATATGTCACTGCACTTTGAATAGATCAGGAGAACAAGGCCAGCGGGTGTTAGGAAAGTCTGAGTGAAAAGGGTCAGAGTGAAACTTATGTCACTGCAGGCAAAAACCTCAAGAAATGGTGTAGAGCCACCAAACCAGTAAGAGTTCTTGCTGGAAAGCATGTGGATGAGCTCTTCTCCACATCCAAGGAGGAAGGAGAGGAGGAAACACCCCCCAAATAAAGCACAGGTAGCACCAGCGACAGGAGAGGATGCAACAGAGATATCTAGTGAAGTCTGTCTAGTCAAGGTTGTGTGCCATGGCCAGCTCAAGAACAAGCTTTAGTTTTAACAGCCAGCTCTACTGAATCACCTTCAACCAAGGCCTTAAAGGGCAGGTCTAAGGGAAGAAGTGAAAAGATGAATTACTCCCTCTTCTTGAAGTGCTCCTTTGCAGAAGATCTCTCTCTCCCCATATGCCATCATTGCATGGATAAGAGCTGAGTTTCCCATCTTAGGTGACCTGAGTTAGGTAGTGTGAAAACCACTCATCAGTGAAATTGCATCTAAGTCCCTGTACTGCAGTTCCCAGTGTCACCACGCAGACAGATGTCCTCTCCTCCAGGCTCTGTGGCAGGCAGTATTTATGTTCAATATTGTTTATAGACCCCAAAACCCTCGTGGGTGGATGCCAAATCAATAGTCCAAGAGCTGAAATAAAGTCATTTTGTGACTTGATTTTTTTTTCTGTTTTTAAAAGGACAATGGTCTTTCTACAACTCTGCAAAACCTCTTATAACATTAACATAAGTGCTGCCAGCGCCCCAGTGGCACTCATGTGCCTCACTGCCCAAGGTACCCACCCACTGGGGCTCCCCCAACCCTGCCCAGGACCCCATGTCAGCCCTCAGGGCCATCAGCCCCTTACCAGTGATGCCACCACAGGGCCAGTCTCCAGCTCCCTGTAGCCCTGCCCTGCCCAGCCATGTGCCCCATGGGACCTGGCCCAGCCATGGGCCCAGTGTCACAGCCCAGCCTCAGCCTGTTGCCTGTAGAGGTGCCCAACACCTGGGGCTGAGGCTGCCCTGGTGCCCCAGGGTCGCCTTCATCCTGGCCAGGGCAGTGGGATGGGTCCTGGCTGCCAGGCCTGCCCTGACAGACCTGTTGGGAGTCCCAGATGAACCCTGGCACCTCCTGCCTGAGAAATATTAGCACAGGACAAAAATCGAAGGACAAGCTCAGCTTTGTCAGCACCAAAACATCCTGACCCAGCCCCTCTACACAATATATTTTAAGGTTTTAAAAGTGCAGGGATGTTTCTGCTTTCATTCTGGTACTGAGCTACTGATGTCCAACCCAGTTGTGGTTTATCTTCTCTGCAGTGACACTGAGTGGTAACCTGAAGAGATGGTTACTGTCACAATCTTCCCACCTCAGTGACATCCATCTAGAACCTAGTGCCAAGTCATACAGGGTCTGGACCACACTGTAAATGAACATGGTGGGCAGCCACAGCATTACCACCTCATGTGGAAGCCTTCATTCCATGCTGACTGAGGTTTCCAAAGGGGAGAAGATGTTCCCAAGCATCACAGAATCATAGAATCACAGAATGGTTTGCCCTGGAAGGGACCTGAAAGATCTTCTAGTTCCACACTCCCTTCCACTAGACCAGGTTGCTCAGAGCCCCATCCAACCTGTCCCTGAACACTTCCACAGATAGGGCATCTACAACTTACCAGGGCAACCTGTTCCAGTGTCTCACTACCTTCACAATGAAGAATTTCTTCATAATATCTAGTCTAAGTCTACCTTTCATCAGCTTCAAGGCACTGAAACATTAAAGACATTGAAGGAAACACTTGAGTACCACTGTCAATTCACCAGAATAAGTCGTTTACATGCTAACATCAACTCTCTCCCCAAGCAGTGGTGAGCTGAGGAGCCTCAAGGCCCATGCTGATGGCATTTCTTGATAATAAGTGGAGAGCTGCTCACTTTCCATGACACACACAGATAAAGGGGGAAAAAATATTTTTTGCAATATTTTCTTCTTCCTTTCTCAGCCAAATCCTTATTTGGGCTGTTACAAATTATTCACACAGCAGCCCTGCCAGTACTGCCTGATCTGATTAGTGAGTGCACCAACACCTCCATGGCTTTCAAATTCATTTCACAGGTTTACAAGAAATGGATGCTGATACCTGATAAGTGACAGCACCTGGATTCAAAACATATCATCAGTTCATCTGATATCTTCAGTATCTTGAGTAACATCTCAGCTTGGCAGAGAAGTGTTACCCTAACCACCATATTTCTGTGCAGGAAAATAAAGCCCCCCTTATGTACTTGTTGACATACAGATTCACACCTTTGTGTTGTTCCTACCTAAACATACAGAATCCAAGTTGAGTGCAGTGATTCCATTGCAAACAAGTGCCCTGGCTTACTGTTGTATCACAGAAGTTACCTATTTGTCACAAGCGGTTTTAAATACCTCTGTAGAACAGCTGAGATTTTTTGAAATATTTTTTTATTAAAACAAAGCAATCAGTTGCATATGTGTTGACTTTGATTATCAGAGGACACAGACACGGTTGCATATGTAACAGTGCAAAATAAACCACATGAACTGCTTTCTTAGTCAGAGCTCTGAATTTCTGAAATTATGAAAATAAGACATTGCTACAATGCACATACTCAGAAACTATCGCACAATACCCATTAAAAAAACCCAACCAACCAACCAAAAAATAATAATATTCAACTAGTTTGACCAGATTCCTGTTTTTCACAGGACCTCTTATTTTGCTATAAGACAGAATTACCCAGAAAAGAAATTGGACCCTAGACTAACAAGGCTCTCAGGAATCTAATTACAGAATGGCAAAACTGTTGAGAAGAAGCACATTTAATAAAATGTCTGTTATCCTATGGCAATGCATTATATATACCAAGAGCTGCTTGTGGCCAATAAAGTCAATGGAAGGATTTGCATCAACTTGTAAGAGCATAAAGGAAAGGAAAACAGTGTCTTTTGCATTGTACTGCCAGGAAAATGGAGTACATGGCTGAATTGTAGTAAGACATTCATAAGGCTGGGTTTAGAGACATGAAATTATAAGGGGAAGCAGAGGGGGATAGAAGGGGTCTTATTTCACTCTGATGAAGATAAGTGGAAATTCATTCTTAGTTTCTGAGTGCCTTGCCTGTGTTACTCTGATGAATGCAAACCAGTGGGTAACTAGCTTCTTGGTCAGTAGACAGGCTGCAAACCAAATTCACTAAATCTATGCACAAAATCCACCCTCAGAGGCAGGACAGTTGTAAAGCGCTGAGCATCAATAGACACCAATCAAAACTTAAAGATCCCAGTAGTACCAAACACTGCTGTCAGCAATACTAGCGGCGAATAGAGGAGGCAATCCCTTTAAAGAGTATAAGTAACTATATGACACCCAAAGACACAGTACCTCAGACCAGATGAACTCTAAACTGGCAATAGCATTGTCTAAAGGCATGATGGATCTTTCATTTTAGCTGCTGCCAGTTTTATCACATGCATATATCACTAGGGTACTAAGACTGAAAGGTCACATCATAGCTTACAAGGTAACCATCATTGTAAACATGCAGTCTCTGTTCTCTGGGGTTATAATCAATACTCTGGATTTTTTCTAACTTTTTATCCATAATGACACTAATTCTATCCTCTTGGCCAGTACTCGTGTCATACATGTAGAAGATCTCCTCTTTCCTAGTGCTCAATGGCCTTGTGGCATAAAGAACACCACATAACATGAAAGCATTAGAAACAGATGGCTTGTACTGTCTTGTCTGCCAAGTATTTAGCACATCAAGTGTGGTCTCATTGAGTTTGCTAATCACAATGTTGCCTACACTACTTTCTGTTGAATATATTACCCATAACCCACTTTCATCCACGGCAAAATCTATGTCTTGCCATGCTACACCTGCATAAGAGAAACGGTTACCAATAGCAGCATATGGGAGCTCCTTCTTCAAAACCTCTCTGTTTGTTTTTATATCATGCTTCACCATATATCTTGAATTATAGGCATGATAGTACAAATAGTTATTATAAAGGGCAGCACCACTTCCTTCCCCATAGGTTATTCTACTTTCAGACATGGGTCTAAACAGCAGCAAATCATCAAAGGAATTATAAATTCTGTAGTATTCCAAGTATCTCCCATCTGTGTTCAACGGTGCAACCCAATAGACTTCGTTCTCTGGGTTAGAGGGAGAGTAATCTCTACCCCAGGAGCCATATTTGTAGGAAAATCCTCTCCAGTTCAGCTTTACCACATAGGGCTGGCTAACATTCAGCAGTCCACGGTGAGTGCAGGTACCTGCAATTAAAGAGAAAAAAAAGTCAACAGGTTTCCCAAAATGTCATTAGTAGGATAGAGGTTTTGCAGACCATAGCCTCTAGACTTTGCTTACTAGAGAGTAGCTTTGTGGCAAAGCACAGACATAAATGAACAGCTTCATGTGTAAAAGACTCATTTGGGCTAAGGTCAGCAACTGGATGGCACTTGGTGTTCCAAGTTGACTCAAAAAATTTAGGAGTAGAAAACAGAGTACATATCATTACAACTATTTGAAGGGGGGAGATTAATTCACAGAAAATAAGTGCTCACTGTGCTGTTCCATGCAAGGGACAGATTTCTATTTCTACTCATTTAATGTTGGCCAGCCTGATGCACTAGGAGATCCCTTGGAAAATACAAGTTCAGATGCATTTTAGGTTATTTTCTACCTCAGTGGAACCAAAAGCATGGGGGATGGGGAAAAAAGAAAGAGGAGCATCTTATTTCTGTGTGTTTCATTGTGAAGAGGAAGGAAGGAGCAGCAGCAGCAGTAACTCCAGAGTCACATTTCAGATTAGCATTCTGCTGTCAGAATCACAGCTTTACAACAGTGCGTCACAGCCACATGGTGCCTTCAACCTCAGGCCCTCAAAGAAATCTGCAGACAGCAACAATCGCAGCCCAGCAAATGTAGACTGATATTACTCTGAGTTTTCATGTGAGGTGACTCTGAAAAAAAATATGACTTCGAGATGAACCAGAACAGCTCTGTTTGACACATATCAACTGCAAAACCATTTTCAGGATCATGGAAAAATTACTTTAAATACAAGAAATAGTTTCCTTTTACTCATGGTGAATTAGTGACTTTCTTGTTTCCTGATAAATTCTCAATCTTATAAGTCACTGGTGGTAAAAATCCTCCACTCAGAAATGACCATGGGCTGCTGATGAGTCCAAAGCTGCCACTGGCAAAAACTAGCATGCGCTTTTCCAAATGTTAACATCAGCTTTTTGTACTACTGCCACAAAGTGTCCCAGATTTTTATTTGTAAGATTATGTTCCCCCGAGGTAATGGAGACAGAGATGTCAAGTGACTGGTAGCAGCTCACAAGCTTAGTGGTATTCATTCCAATATTTCCCAGTTCATTAGGGCGCTCTAGACACCAGTCTTCCTTATTAAAGATGGAGTATAACATGAATAGACCCAAGTCTCCCACATCAATTAATGAATAAATTAATGACCACAATTGTTTGATGTTAATAATAACTTCCTCAACACAGGAACTCCATGCACTGCCAGCTATGGTGCCAGTGATGAAAGTCAAGATTATATTCTGAGGTTTTAATACTTTGCATGGGAACCATGAATTTCTTACAGCTTCCACAAAAAGAATGGTTCATAAGCTCATAACTCCTATGAAGTGACATCTGGCATATAAATAACTTCTGTCTTATCACAAAGAAGAAAGAGAAATAACAGAGAAAGAATTTACCTTTTGCCCTCAAAGCTGACCATCCATAAGCGAGGCCAGACAATACTTATAGAGAAGAGTTGGAATCTCCTAAAGCCACTGATAGAAAAAAACCTAGGAGACATTGCATTCTCAAAGGCATCACAGCTTACTCCACAGATAGAAGGAAACATAGACAGACCAGTCTGAAGCACTCTACTTGGAAAACCACCGGGAAACAAGATACTGATGAAAAAAAATGGACTGTTGCAAATGCAGAGAAATCTTTTTCTGATCTGTTTTGCCCAGGAGAAAGGTGCTCTGCCTCTGGGACAAGGAAACCTGTGTCCTGAGTGTTAGTAATGCCCAAGCAAGTGGATACCATTTGTGCCAATGCGTAAGGTCAATTTGGGCAGTGAAACTCTCCATGACTTCTTTCACAATCAAAATGCACTATTTCTTTGCTTTCCCTACATAACACCTTCATTCTTCATAGTTTTGTACAGTCTTGTGCTAATGACTGTGACCTGAGGGACAAGTGACTCACCTGCAGCCTCCTCTCAACATCTGTGAGGAAGATGAGGAGCAGTTTTATACTAATCACTATGCTGAGCTAAATCCCTGTGTCCCCAGGCCATGTTGGCAACTTCCTTGGAGTCAGTATTGCCCATGGGAGCAGCTTTTCATCACTGAGTGTCCAGCTGATGGCAGAGAGGATGTCATGAATTGTAAACAATCCCATCTCCTCCACCAGACCCTTTCGTGTCCTGGGATTCTTGCATCTGAAACATGGCATGACCCTTGTTTTAAGCTGCTTTCCTTTGTGCCACCAAGAATGAAGGCAAATCAGCATTCCTGGCTCAGAGCAGATGAGCATTTAAGCATTCACTTAAGTGCTGTACCAAGGACGAGGCCCTGGAGCAGAAATCTCATTTCCAAATATAGCACACAAGGCAGGCACTGCTGTATGGCTGTCCAGGCTGTATCTCTGGAAATGGCAGTAGCATGTCTACTAATGTGGCCTCAGCACTTGGCACAGATACCAGCATTTGGAGGTGCTTATACCTCAGCTCATGCAAAGGAAGAAAGCTAAGGTAGCCAATGCAAAATGGTTTGCAGCCTGCCAATTTGATAAATCAACTGGAACTGTTTTTTTCTTACATCTTTATTATGTATAACTCTGGCATGAAGACTTTAAAGCTGGTGACCTATTGAATATATTACTGTGCTTAAATCATAATAAACTTATCTCAGAAGTAAATGGTTACTAAGTGTTCTAAAACTCTTCATTTGTTTAGAAAACTATAACATCGAAGCTTGCAGGTAGTGGAGCACTGCTAAGCTCATCTATATGCGACCTCAAATAATTTTTCATGTCATTAAGCAGAACACAATTTCAGATTTATTTTAATAATTCATACATCGTTTCATAAATAAAAAACAAACGTGTGTTCAGCAGAGAGACCTTTTTTTACAAAAGAAATAATAAATTATTATTTCTCCCCTTAAAGAGATCTCTCTGCTGAACACTTGTTTGGTTTTTATTTATGAAACAATGAATTATTAAAATAAAGTTAGAAGCATGTTCCGTTTTAATGACATCAAAAATTGTCTGCAGTTTCTACAGAGAATGTGCTTGATTTTGATTTCCTTGAAAAAATTCTCCCATAATTTTTTTTTTTTTTAACAAAAAAAACCCTGTGGTAGTCAGGGATGATCCATCTTTTGCACAGGTTCAGAAGAATTCATTGTTGTTTATTTAATCTAAACTTGCCTTCCTGTCTGGATCTTGTGGGGAAAAAAATGCACAAAGGAAACAAAGTGTCATGTAATTTTGTAAATATTAGAAGGTACTTGAAATAAATCCATATGCATTATTCAAACTTCCAGGTTTTTAACTCCTTTCTCCACCATTTTGGGCCACTGATAAATGGTGCCCTGGTATTTTTGCCTTTCTCTGTTTCATGCTAATGTAGCAAATAGATGAGGGAAGGACTAACATAGGTACATATACACGTACTTCTCCTTCTCCCTACACAAAGAACCAGTATCTCGGCTTAGTTGTCTCCTAATCCTTCTGATTCATCAGAAAAAGAGCTGAAATCTAATTGTCAGGACTGGAGTGAGCCTGACTTGCTTGGCTAACAGGTTGCAGAATTGAATATAAGACACATCCTCTTGCGTCTCATTTTACCCACTTCACTCTGAAGCACTGGCAGAGCACATCAGATTCTCACTCCAACAACACAGGAAAACATTCCAGCAGCCTCCTCCCACCAAGCAGCTGCATCTGATTGCAGAAGAGAAGGAACCATAGTTGGCCTATGAAGCCAAAGATCACGAAACAAGGTGGGACTCACATTTAAAGGAACTCCCACGAGGGGCACAGAGACCAGAAGTAGGATGGTTCTGTATTCTCACACACGCCCTCAAGCACCAGATGCACACCCTCCTCTCCCATCAGATGAACCGCTGCATCCAGATATGTGAGCTGTGACCAGCCTTACTAGGACTTGAGATACAGAAGATGGAGCTCTAAGGGAAAGGTTCATCCTGTCTCCTACTGTTTCACTGACATAGAAAGATAAACAAAGACACTCCAGTCTTTCACCAGTATCATGGAGCACAGACACAGTCTGTCAGCTGCATCAAAGAAGACCTGTGTTGGCAGCATCTAACAGGGGATGAGGTGGAGGGAGGGCTGGAGTTCATCAGACTGCTTTAAAGAAACTGTAAGTTCAGGTCCCTTAATTCAGCTCCCTTCACTGCCAGTGGAGAAATGTTTATCTCTCCAGGGGCAGTTCAAGAAGTCCTGGAGAGAAAGGCTGGCTAGCTCTTTTCTGGTGCCTCTAAGTATGTCTCTCTCTCTGTGTATGGATGTATTCAGTTCAAAACACAACCCAAATTACTCAAAAAACAGAGAAAACTTAGGTCATAGGGGGTAAAATTTAAGGTAAATTGAAGTTACTGTAAAACTCCAGTAGAATTGCCTGAGTTTCAGCATTAGGCTACTTCAGGTTTTCCTCCCGCTGAGACATATTCACCAGTACCTTGAAATCCTTAATTTCTGAGTGTATAAAAGCCAGGAAAAAAAACCAGTGCTGCTCCTTTTTTCCTTTATTTCTATTTTGCCTTTGAGTTTCATCTGACTCACTTCTCTCCGCTTCCTCTCTCAGATCATTTCAGCGAGATGTGACATAAAATCTGCAGTACTCAAAGAACCATCCTGAGGTCTTTCCTCTCTATACCTACCCAATTCAGCCAGATGAGAATGGCACAAAAGAAAACAAATGGATAAATATTTCTTCCCACTGGAGTGGTGAGAAGTGAGATGCCAGGAATCATTGCAGATAGGAAAACCAGTGATGATGAGGGGGATGATTAACTGCATATCAGACACTCAGACTCACACCTCTCCAGTCAGAGGGCAGGGCAAATGCAAACCAGTGATTTCTTTCTGCTGTGTTGTTTGAGAACAGGCCTGTTCACTCTGAGAAATACAGCTGCAAAAGCCGTCGGGGACAGAATCAGAGAGGCTGCGTACTACAGCAATGCAAAGCAAGAAGCTTTAATTAAACTTGCCTTTAGACTCGTAACCTTAGACAGTTTAGAGATTAGCCAAGCTCTCTCTAGGTCGTGTTGCCTACCCAGGATATGCAGGAGAGAGGATGAAGGGGGAAGGAAAAAGCAATCTGAAAACAGGACAAAGAGTCAGTTTAATACAAATTTCATAAATATAATATGAACTAAAAGCAGGGCAAGGCCAAGTGGTTTGGCAGGAATTCAAGGCATTCAAGCTTGCAGAGAAAACATATGGAGATTGTGTTCAAACACGTAAATGAGTGCTAGAGAGCTTCAGAGGCCTAGGTGTAAGCATCCATGCCAAGACTTCAAAATGACCAACTAGAAAATACTTACTCCATCTTCCTAAGCAATCACATCTTACTACTTCTGTGTGCTTTCAGATACAGTCTGCAGGACATGTAGTTGCCCTACTAAGTTCTCTGCACAGATGAGAGTTGTTCCCCATCAGTCCCACAAAGTCTATGCATATGCAATATACTAGTCCTCTGTGGATTAGCAAGGATCTGAGCCTACAAAACACCTGGATTGTCTATAGAGCTGGTATCTCCCATCCCAAAGAAAACTTGCCAGCCTGCATCAGTTTCTCTGCCAGTCCTTCATGCCAGCCTCAGAGGAGGCCATGACACTGTGCTTACGGACATCCTCCAACCCCTCTCAGGTTCCTATTGCTGTGAAGAGAAGACAAACTCACAGATAACGCCAGAGATTATCCTTGGCTGACGTCAGTGGTAGTAAGTCTCTCAAAACTGTTATATTACCTAGAATTTGACCCCCTTGGTTACTTTCTGCTATAATGCAAGGGTGCCTGAGCTTGCTAGCACACTAGTTAGGAATAAGACAATGCTAAAGCAATACCATTTTGGTCCCAGACAAACTCTATCCATCTCCCTACCATGCCCTGAGAAACAATGGCAAATAATTCTATTACAGTCACAATTCCATGCAGTTACATATAGCCATTCCAGAGTTATCATCCTGCTCTAGACACAACTTGCCTATCCCTGCATGGAGCTGTGCTGTGAAGTGTCATCCTCTCTTTCCCACTTGGTGAAAGCTGCTATGTCCCCCAGACACACCAACCACGCAGACATAAAAGCAGCACTTTCCTTCCTCACTCATGGAACTAAACAGTATTCTTGTTCCAAAGCTCAGTATTTTCTCACCAAAACAAAGGCTTGCTGTAGGCTTGAAGAGAATGAGATTGTTTCTTTCCACACACCATCACCCTCAATAAATCAGTGAGATGCCTTTCAAGTACTTTTTTTTTCTTTGAAACATTTTAAGCTCTTCCTTAAGGAGCAGAGAACGGCCTTGAGATTTTTTAATGCAGGTTTTTGTTTTGGCTTTCTCTCCTGTCTGATTCCCAGACAAGGTGTTACTCATACATTCTGTCAGAGAAAAGCAGCAACTGCCTGCATCACCATGAAGCCCCAAAGAGGGGCTGCTCATCCTAAGGGAAGCTTGTATTTCTGCCTCTCACCTTTCCAGGGAGATGTTTGAATTAGCTGACCTCAAAGTGATGAGAGGTAAATGCTGGTAGGTGCAAATCTGTACTCCTTGCAAGCAGGACACTACTCGTCCTTTTTTTTAGATTCCTCTAGCTGATTGCTAACCAGCCGATGTGAAAAAGCAAGATTCTTCCCCTGTGTATTGTATACAACACAGCACTTTTTCTCTTACAATATTCTGCCAAAAGGAACCCCCTGTGTATAAAACACTCAGGGGATTAACACAGTTTGATAAATCCCCTTGTCTGTTAGCAAGTGGGATGCTTAACCTGGCATATCTAAACTAGTATTTCCTAAATGGTCTGCTCCAGTGTATCATATCTGACTCTCAAAATTTCTCAGACCATGATTGACACACAGTATGATTTTTCAAACTGAACACAATGTCAGGACAGAAGTTGTTCTGGTTAAAAACTAATTACCTCACACCCTGTGACTGTTGACACCATTGTATGAACTGCACTCTGGGAACCACTGATCCAGGCCCCAGAAAATAACCTAGTTAAGGAAATTATAAAGTCCTAGTTCCACTGAAAGCAGTAATACAGCTCCCACTTATTTCCCTGAGATCAGAATTTCCCTCCAAGTCTCTTGACCTTCTGTTTTAGCAGAACCTTTTGCCTGTGAAGCAAAAGTAATCTGCATGCAAGGCTACCTTCTGGAGCTTGCGTGCCAACAGCTTTAGTACATCAACTGTTGCTCACACACTTCCCAAGCAGCATTAGAGCAATATTGCCATGTCACAGGTCACTTTCACAGAAATTATTAAAAATCAAAGCTGGTTAGAACAAAACCCATAGTTTCCCACTGGTAATTCTTTTGGAAAAAAGAGAAGAGGGGTAGAGTTTCACTTTGTGCACTATAGGTGAGAGGAAGATTACAACTTTTTCCAGTTGAAAACAGCTACTGTGTCTATTAGAGTTTGACTCCTGCCTTCATTTTCCTTTTGAACCCAAATGTTTGACAAAACATTAGAAGTTGTCTACTCCATTTTTCAAGAGCTAAGGATTGTCATTACAATTTTATTAATATTAACAAGGAGAATTCTCTGCACCTATTGTTCTAACTATGTATTATGTTATTTCTCATGTGATACGCTTACCTGGTGGGAAATAAGGGGGTACTGTGGTTTTGTTTGCGTTCTCTTCACACTCTTTCAGTCGTTGCTGCAGAGATGTAATTTGTCGACGAATTGCAAGGACATTGTTTTTGTCCAGTGATTCTAGTTCATTTACCAGTATAGTTAGATTTCTGATCTAGAGGGGAAAAAAACAGAGCAAGTTTAATGTCAACTTTATTGTACAAGTATTAGCGGGCAGGGTTTGATCATAACTCAGAAGACACTACATAAAAAGGTTTAAAAAAATATCCTAAGAATAGGCCTTATCCTGCCAGCCTCAACTTGACATTTCCAGCAGAGGTATGTGAATACAGGGAAATGCTTTAAGACTAAGTTGTATAACAGAATGCAAAAATATAGTGTTCTTTTATACTTAGTACAAAAATACCCAGTCAGTCACAGGCAAGTGCTAGCTATTAAATACAGAAAGTACTTATTCCAGCCTTACAAAAAGTATCTGGAAATTTCATTTACAAAGATAAATAATGGTTTTAATCACCTGCTTGATGATCTAGAGGACAATGGAGAAAGTTATATTTCACTATCCATCTGAAGTAATTATTCTCTCTAGGTGAGTGATTAACTACAGTTTTGAAAATGTGATTTACAGTCAGCTGAGAAGGAGATAGTCTTTCCCTCTTCTTGATTTCATATTGATTGGGCCCCTGCCCTAGCAACCAGAAGCTGATCTTTTAATTATCTAAATTAAAGCACAGAGGCTTTCAAGCATGGAGGCCTGTAAATTAATATTTATTATAATAATTTCATCAGCTTAACACTATGTAACACTGTTAACTTTCAGGCAGATATTCAGCAAAAATGGAGTGGTCTCCATTTGGTTTTGGGTTTCTTTACTTTTCTATGCTTATCTTTTCTTATCAAGGAATAAGATTTTAACATACTTAAGGTCAAGTTTTCTTTTAATTTATGTTGATGAGATGCTAAAATAATTCCACTGGCTGCAGTAGAGACAGGCTACATTTCCTCAACCTAAAGACTAAAGAGAGAATAGACTATCTGTGTATTTGAACCCTCTGTGGCTAATTAAGTCTTTGGCAATACCTCCAAATATATTTGCTCAACGATGACATTGCTTCCAACAAGGCTGGGTTTCAGCTGAGTGACCAGTCTCTCTAGGTCACTGATTTCCACTTTCAGTAACTGGAAGTCCAGTTCTGTGTAGGATATACTGCCATCCTCCATTTGTTCAACTCTGATGGTTAGATTAAGAATTTGCTGCTGATACAGTTCAATCCTTTTCGAGTACTCTTTAACCTTAAAGAAAGAAAGAGACACATATTTAAGTCCAGGTTAGCAAAGCCCATTTTGACATCTTTATTATATTTCTGAGTGCCCTATGCATAGCTTCCACATACTTGACATATATATTCCTCCCATAAACTACATGAATGAAATTCTCATCACATACATTAAAAATGTGAAATTTAACCCTCATTTATTGTTGGCAGTTTCACAAAATCCCCTCAGGAATGCCTGGGGATAACTGAAGGGAGAATTTTACTCACAGTCTTCCATTTTTTTAATTCTTTGCCAATATTGTCTCTGTAAGCTAATTTTATCCTCAGTATGCCAAGAACTTCTCTTGGTGAAAATGTTATTAGGAAATATGCAGTGTATTATCTCTCAAAAGCAACCAGAGGAGGCTGGAAAATGCCACAAAGGATTCGCAAGTTTTTCAGCTTCATTTCCTATTAACTCTGAATCCAAATAGGACTTTACCCTGTGTACATTCAAACTGTGTCAAACATTGGCAGTACTAGTTTGATGTTAGTCTTTGGACAGGGGGAAAATGTTTGAATACAGTGTTAAAAATCAAATCTGGTTTAAGAGAAAGTGTAAAATATATTGCAGGCTTTAGCTAAATGTAATTTATATAGCAGCCTTTTCAGTCTTTGAGCCATTAAGCAGTTGTCCAGATAAATATATTTTCACACATATATCTGCTGAGGTAAAGGTCACAGCACAAGCATTGTGATGCAGAATGTTAAGAATATGATATAGATTTGGGACTTTCCTTAGAAATGTTAGTTCCTTGAAATTTAACACTTTGGTAAAGAGATATAATTTCTCTCCCATATGCTTCATAAAAGTCATGTCTCTTTTCCCTTAAATCAATATCATTATATCACAAAAAATAAGAGGCATATATATAATTAGATTGTTGCACTATTAACTCCGTATTTATACTCAGCTATGGTATGTGTGCCTCTCTCTAGAGCACTGTAGTTTCCATAACTATTATTTCTTCAGGTGAAAGATTTTCTTCTCAAGCATTTTTGCATTATCTTAATATTAAATAAAAGTCAGTATTTTTCCCTAGCATCTCTGAAATGTCGTCAAAGATTCTGTCATGGTGTAAAGACCATGTAATGAATCTTCCATTTTTCTGTTCTGGCACCAGTCCTTGAGACTGGAACCCCCAAAACCCCACATTTATCAAATAATTATTTCAATTTTTATTGGATCCCTTGTGTACCAAAGAGGAGGTATGGGAGCTCATGGCAAGAAAATTCATGAAGGGCAGAAAGGATGCATTAAGTTCATAAGTTATTTAGTGATGTGAATTAAGGAGAAGAAGTGTAAGAGTAGATCCTCTGTTCAAAAGTAGAATTTTCAAAAGCGGCACAACTACATTATAAATCTTGAAGAACGCACTAGAAAACCTCTGCATGCACTTACATAGTATACACCAAAACCAGGTTGCTTAGTTCCATATATTTAAATCAGAGTTTAAAACAGGTCTTCTGTTCTAAGGAAGCAGCCAGACTTTGAGCTGCTCGAAACTGTTAAGTTTCCACAAGCTGTAGCACCTTAACTCATAGCACTGGATGTTCTAGATCTCCCAGGTCAAACCAGGGTAACTTCCAGCTATTTATTGTAATTAGGAATAAAAAAATAATAGCCTACTAAGACTTAGACCTAGTTCCTTGTAACTGGCTGGCAAAAGTGGTAACAGCTGGGATCCTTTTTCCTAGCTGTCACCATCATCTTTTTGGTAGGGAAGAGTAAGAAGAACCAAACAATGCTCTTGGAAAAGCCAGATGTAGTTGGACCTCACACTTTCAATGATCACCAAAATCAGTTTGAAGTTGAAAGATATCCTCAAAAAAAATCACCTGGAAAAACTTTTCAAAGGTCAGTGTTTAAACTGTGTGTCTAGAGTTTGCACAACTACAAAAAAGAAAGAATATGTTAGTACAGCCTGAGAAATATAAAGCAAGTCTATGTTTGAACAAAATGGCACTGCTGTGTGAAGCTATGTATATCATAGAGATGAAGATATGTATATCATAGAGGTATTAGGAAACCTCTCTAGGTATTAATGATCTTTCTCACAGTAACACTGGTGATAATAATGCAATACAGACCAAATCTTCAAACCACTGAAATAAACAGGCTGCTGGAATTAGTGTTGGCTATTCATTAGTGAGAAACCTATGAATGTGAAGTTTTCTTCAGTGTCCTCAGAGCCTGGATAAAATGCTGAGGGCTGGAACAAGGCATACATAATTATTTCAGCACTGATTGCAGAATGCTGCAGGACACAGACCTGAAGTTCTCCTCCCATATTAGAGAATTTTCACTCAGTCAACCATCTAGGTCATTTAAGGACATGTCAACACCATCCACAGAGTATGGCTGAGCCTGAACTAGCACCATCACTCTGCAGGGCTCTGTACAGCCACGCCAGCATCTCAATGAACTTAAGCTAATAGCTCCCCTGGAGAATTATTGGACAAATAAAATTTTCTCAGCAGTGCTGCTCTAACAAGTCTATACTGCTTTTTCAGACAAATCCAGCACATATGTCAAGCAACGCAGCGCCCTGTGTGGAAATCACCACCTGCTCAGATCTGGTTTAAGAGTTTCTGTAGTTTAGAAATATCAGTTGAAAAAAGAACATGATGTTGCTCTTTTGATTGGCAGATAGATTTAAGGAGCTTACAATCCCTGCTCTTCACTGCATCTACCTGCTAGGGGCTGGCTGTTGTCTCTTGACAGGCTGGCACAGAAATTCTGTGCATATCTTATATTTAAGGATACAGACCAATAACTAGTACTGACTTCAGCCACATTTATCATAAAGTAGGGTGTGATGAGTGCATTGGGCCTGTGTTAGCCCTTTATAGGAAGAGAATGGAGCCATGTGAGGCATATGTCAGGAAAAAAATCCTCAGTTTCAGTTTTTTCCTCCTTTCCAAGCATTGTCACCTTCATGTAATGAAAAGGGCAGGAAAAATCTGCAATGCTCATTTACTGTGTCATTTACCTACAACTGGTATTTATCAAAACAGGTCTTGCAGCATGCAAAAAGACACTTCTCCAGTATGCATTTGGAGAGTACAGAAGGGGGAACAAAGGTGCAGGATGAAGATGGAAAAGACAAAATGTGGGAGGACTGACGGAAGATAAGAAAGAAATGACAAAACCAGCAACTTTGTTAAATCACTCAGCCCAAGGACACTGGCTTTGGGCAGGCTTGTCCTCTGTAGGTCCATAAGGAGCAAGGCTGGCAATCTGCCTCCTGAGATAGAGAAGAATTCCATTGTGTTTTGCAAAGCAGAGGACAAGCATGCTTTTTCCTCCTGTTCTAGTTATGTGAGGATGTTGCAGTTGTTGTGAACCTTATTCTGAAAGGCATTTTGTCTCCTTGGGATCATGTGCTGATCCATCCCTGCTATGGAAGTGTCCTTTCCCCTTTTCTATTGAGAGGAGCAGCCAATTCCTGCTTTGCTTTAAAAGGTTAATATTCTTCTGTAATCATAATTGTGCTGGCAAAGGTTGATGTGACAGAGGAAAAATTAGTCTGGTATTTTCAGCCTACGGTTTGTACTCACTTGGCACATGAGAGCATCTCTTTATCTGCAAGCTTCCTTGCCTGCTGATTCTATAAAAGGACCCCCTTGCTTTTTGAATTAACCAACAATCAGGCAAAAGGTTAATGAGTCAATCAGGCTGTTTTTCTGGGACTTCTAGCACATGGAGAGCATCCTTAAGAGGGTCCAATCCTGCAGCTCTCACCCAGGAAAAGTTTCCATGAGCTTCAAAAGGGTGTTTTAGGAAAGCAACTAAAGCATGGATTCTCAGAGTCAGAAAAGGAAGCATTCAGTAGAAATTCACACTGCTGTGGTGAGACTAGGTTATGTCTGAATGAGATTCCCTAGGAATTTGCTCAGGATCATTTCTAACAGTGATCAATACTGAAAGCTTGTCTTTCCTACGTTTCATTATTTCCTTCTCTCTGTGAGTATTATCATGACTAAAGTAATATGCAGGATTGCATAAGGAGGATTCTTTCCACAATGGGAAACATGGAGAATTTTTTAGCATGGAGATTTATGCATCACAAGATCTCAGAGTACTTAAGTTCAGGTATCAATAGGGCCATGCTCAACAGCTGTCTTCTTTCTACAATAAACCCTGCAACATTGTAACTGAGAAATCTTGCACACATTAAAGTGTGCAAGACAAAGTTACACCAAAACGCAGTCTTTTCATTTTAATTTCTGACCCAAAGTGTCTCTTTGCCCATATCCCACCAAAGCGTATGCTACACTTCAGCTGGATACATTGTAACACTGCTTGGCTGATTGGTCTTAACAGGATGAAATTCAATGAAGCCTGAGTATGGTGAAGAATTTTCACTGTCTGCAGTGAGAACTGAAAGTCGAGGTCATTGTCTACAGTGTGGTACACTGCTGGGCACCAGGATGTAGGATGACAACACAGTTGTCACCAGCTGGCAACCTAGACAATAATGTCTAGGGTAGGGATTCAGCTTGCCCTGAATTTAGAGGTGAGTTTCAGGTACAAATCTACACACCTAATTTTATGTATCTATAGCAACTTTTGTCGATATATAAGCATGATGTCTGAATTCAGTGGATAGCTGAGACTGTCCACATGGAGAGGACAAGCAGCACTTCAGATGCCCTGCATACCTGTACAGTGTTAGGATAAAGGAAACGTGCACCATTCTGGGGAAAGTACTGGTAAGAGATTGGTTACACCAGGGCAAGTGAAACGGGGTACACAAGGTACACAAGGAAAGGTGGTACACAAACACCTTGAAGAATCATGCCAACTTTTTGCTGGGAATCACGCCCCTGATCCTATTCCAATGCACTTAGCTTCAAATGACCACAGTGGGAACAGTATGGGAACCTGAGATTTCAGTGATTTCCATGGCTCATTAACTCTGAGCTACACTTCCATGCTGCAAGGGATCAGGTAATTCCTGTGCTTGAAGGCAGCGGGACTTCTGTCAACTTGCCCTTCATATGCCTGCTGACAGCTGAATGTTTTTCACTGTTAGCTCCAGTTCTTTCAAAACAAACGATTTGAACTGAAAGATCTTACCACGGGATCGTGCGCCTGTTGTTGTGTTTTTTATGCATAACTTCTTATCTGTTCTTGATTATACCAGAGGAAGGTTATGAATATTAATGATTAGAATTTATAATTTAATGCTTTGCCTTTTCTGCTGATTAATTCAAGGACACTTCATTTCTTAAGATGCCTGGTTTCTGGAGAAAACACTTTCTGCTGGACGCCTAATCTGAATCCTGATATTTATTCACTATAAAAAATAAAAAGTAGAGTTCTGTCTTCACAGGGAGTTGACCCAGTGCACTCCATCATGTGTAGGTTTGCCTGAGTTCCTCAAAAAAATGGATCTCAATTCATGCAACAAGCAGCCAAAGCAGTGTAAGGTATGTTTGTCTTCAACGGAAATGCATAATTCAGCAGTCTCACTGTCACAGCTTCAGATGTTGACAAGGAAGATATTTGATTTTTATTTATTTATTTATTTTATCTGTGAGAGCAGAAGCACTGAGGGAGCAAATATTCACCTACTTCTTCACTCTGGCCTGTGGTGACCTTTCTCCTCTTTCCCTTCACTGCCTTCCTACAATCTGGCTGGCTTGATACAAATAATAACACATGAAAGAGCAGGAGGCTTGGCTTCCTATAGCATCACGTAGCAATCACAAACCAATAAAACTGAGCCAAAAGAGGAAAAACATAATCATTCTTCCAAAAAATACCATATGTCTCTAGCTGCCAAGGCCTAGAAAAGAGACAGGAGGATATTCAAATGTATGACATGCTACAATGTCAAAGATTAGAGATTTAATCACCTTTCTCCTTGTTCTTACAGAGCCCTCTATCCCTTGGTTTGAAAGACACACCATAGAAAAGTGCTGACCACTGTGCTTTTTCACAGGCAACTGTTTTTCAGGAAAGATGCAACTGTTATTTTTAAGAGAAAACACCTTACTTTAGAAAGCTCTGTTTCAAATTTCTTCGAGAGTGTTGCAGCTACAATTTCCAATTGCTCGACCTTCTGCACTGGAAAGGTGGTATCCGGCAAGTACACAGAGCATTGGCAAGTTCCCTCATCATCCACAGAGCCGGATACATTGGCAAAGAGCTGCAATAACAAATTGGTAAGAAAAAAAAAGTGTTAATATTCTTCTCTAGAATCAGTATCTAATAATGTCTGGCACTATTATGAGCTGTGACAATACTGAGATCAATAACTTCATTACTAGACACCTTTCACCTTTTTCTTTCAAAGAATTCAAAATATCTAGCAATTTTTATGACTCAGCCCCACAAATCTCTCTGAAAATAGTTAAATATTGCTGTAAAGATTTTACCATTAGAAAAACAGTGGCACATAATAGTCCTTACTTTCCCAGTCTTGTGAACAGTGTTCCTAACATATAAAGTAACTTTTCCAGCAGATAGAAAAGCAGCCAACAGCAGGAAAATAGTAACTTAGTAATTTATGTCTTATATTTACTATTCTGTTAATCTAAAGTAATCAAATCATCTAGTCATTTCCACCCATAGAGATGAAAGCACCAAAGTAGAGCTAGTAACAGGGAAAGTTTTGAAAAGAAAAGTCTTTTATTTGAAGTTTCTCAGCCAGCCACAGCAAACAGACATATATTTAATTATACACCACTGAAAGGTGATGAATTAAATATGCAGGTTTGGCCTAAGGTAGAGGTTCTTATTTTGCTACAAAATATTGCTCGTAACACCCACACATCACAGCCCACCCATCCATTTTTGTGAATAGCTGGCAAAGCTATTGACCATGCCATTAGCATGAATCGCTTTGTCCCAGTTATCTGCATGCTCAAAACATCATCACTGGAGCAATGCATATGAGGTATGAAAAGGTCAAGGCTGGCAATTCATGATCTTGCCGTAATTTACAGTCAAAGCACACTGTTTTCTATAAATACTGGGCTGAATACTGAGTGTGTTTGGAGCAGTTCTTTTTTGTTTGTTCACAAAATGTTTCCCAATTCATAAACCTATCACAAATTTCTTAATGAAGATATTTGATGTTACTTTAAGATATTCTAGCACACACTTCAATGCAGCTGCATATTTTAAAGCTACAGACTTGCTCTTTAAACACACTTCTTTCTATAATCTCTCCTCCTGTCTTGCAGAAATATCAGTGTTATTCATGTGTTTTCTCTTTTTCTCTCCCTCTTAAACAAGCAAACAACAAAACTATGTCCTGAAAGCTGACTTTTCAGCACTTCTCTTGCTTTTTCACAGTGATTTCAACTAACATCCTCATCGACAAACCAGCACAGAATACACAGTGATGGCCAGCAGCAAAGCTGTCTTGATCTTTGAGCCCAAAAAGAGAACAGCAGCAAGCAGGAATGATCCCAGTTCACACTTCTGGCAACCTCTTTACTGCAGTCACAACAAACAGCGTGCATCTCATTTTGAAACAAAGCGTGAAAAGTCATTTTATCTGTGTTGCTCAAGCACCACAGGCCTTAAAACTTCACTCATAGACAGACTGCTGAAGACACTTAACATGAAAAGAAGCATTCCAGTGTCCCAGCACAAAACTTCCCCTGATTTCCCTGACAGGTGGGTTACCAATGCATTTCTGAAAATCCCACTGAGAACATACTACATATTATGTCTGAGTTTCCAAGTATTTTTGAAGATGTGGTTACAAGTATGTAAAATAAGAAAATATGAAAAATAAGTTCCTAAGTCAGATGTTTCTGAACCTCTGAGTTCTCTGTATGTGGGCGTGATTGGGATGGCAAGTTGCTCAGCAATAACAAGATAAACAGATGGGGAGTGGAATTCTCTACAGGAGCCAGAGATATAACTCTGTTTCAGAAGAGGTCCCTCCACACATCCCAGGTGCCACACTTGACTAGCCTAGACAAGAAAGATCTGCTGTCGAGCTGTCTACCATCTCCAGCCTAATCTGGAGATGTGCTTTGAATGAACTCTGTTTTTGACACCAGCTTGTAGGACCATTCAGAGCAAGTGTAATCTATTGAATTTGTTCCAAAGCAAACATGTTATTAAACAGTCACTGATAGAGAGAGGGAAAGAAACCAAACACTGAAATCTACAGGACATGGGCTTAAGCACTGTACCAAAAGGCACAGAAATCAGATTCAGGTCCCTCTACCAGCAAATAGCTGATAATATTTTAGTGAAGCAGAACACTGAGAATCGAGATTTTCTGAATCCCAGACACCAGAAATGGGTACTGCTCAGAAGATAGTTTCAAGGCCGTGTTCTAGTTTATGAGGGAAGACTTTCTCCAGGGAGGCTGTAATCACCAAACTGTTTGGTACATTGCCATCAAATTCCCAGGGCCTCATCTGCTTCATGTCTGGGGTCCAGTTCACTAGTTACAAGGCTAATGCCAAAGTTTTGGATGGGACTTAAGGCATTGAATGCCATGGTAGCAGTAGCGAAGATTTTGGAAATTCACTACTTCCTAAAATACTGGATACACAACACATAAATGCTTTTCCCAGAAAGCCTAATTGGCTTATGTGTATCAGGGTTAAGTCTCTGAGTGACTGTGCAGCATTTAAATGGGACACAAGTTCCTAAATTTGTTCTTTTCTGGACTTGATTGAAGAATAGTAATGGTTATACCTTTGGGGGAGTGTGCCTTGTGCCATTTATATTCCTAGGCCAAGTCAGGTATGGAAGCATCGTATAGAGATGAGAAGTCTGAAAAGAAAACAAAAGATTTTTTTTCAGTGTGGTTTCCTGCATATGATATCATCCCACCCCACCAGTTAGACCCCATCCTGCAGCTCCAAAGCACTTTGTTTTATTATGGGAACCATCCTCAGCAACTTAATTGGCTTTTCTGATCTGCTGCTGAGGCAACAGTTTCCCTGGGCAGAGTGTCACTTCACATACACCTCTTCTTGAAGAAAGGCTCTGTGTGACGAGTGCAAGGCAGGGGACACTCAGCCTGTCCAGGAGGCGGGAGCTGGGGCTCTGAGCCTTGGCAGTCTGAAAGGATAGTAGCCCCTCTGCCCTAAATCCAGAGAATATTGTCCTCTCAGCAGGGATGCCTGCTCCTTACCTCCCAGCTCATGCTCCAGCCTCTCAGCGCAGGACTCGCTGCCCCTTTCACACCAAGCTGTCAGGCTGCGAGTTGTGATGGCTGGGGAATGTGTCCCACTCTGCTACTAACACCACGGATGTGATAGCATCCCACTGTGGGGAGAAAGTGCTGGGGGAAGACACCATATTGCCAAGGATACAGCCAGGTCCACCTTGGGAGCCTTTTATGTAGTAAGACCATATACATCTACTTTAACTTTCACCTGTGGCTGATGTCTGCCTTCCTGCCACAGCAAAGAGAGCAGCTGTCACCCGTGCTGTGGGTTACCTCATCCTCACACAGTGTGCAGAGCACGGTGAATTGCCATGGTGCAGCACAGTGTCACCCGTAACAGAGTCTTGCCAAAATCTCTGTCAGACTGGAAACTGGCCCTCAATGTCAAATGGTGTCACAGACAGAACACCAAATGGGCTTTTCATGCAACAGGACACTCTCTGCTGGGTCTTTCTACATTTCCCAAATTCCAACTGGAACCATATTTCTGAGCAAGGGAACAGTGGAGAAATCCAAATGGCCAGCAAAGGGCAGGTCTATTGAGTGGCACAGTGTAAACAAGCTTTGTGTGACAGTTTGTCAAATAAACCCACTTGAACAGGCATTTGTGTGCTTCTATGATTACACTGTACATGAGGGGGGACAGCCAGTAGCAATTAACAGTGTTTGGGCAGAGAAGCATCACAAATTGTGTAAATTACACAAACTGAGGACTAGCTCAAAGCTAAGCAGACTAAGGAGGAATTTCTTCCCTATAAAGCTTTCTACCCTCAGCTTATCAACATATATTTACACCTCCATCTTGATTTTTGCAACTCTTCATTCCTTGAGTGAATAAAAGCAGCTTCCCAGGAGATGCTGACTTCACTGCCTGCCTCCACAGCACTCCCAAACTTCAAAAAGTATAATTAGGAGCATACAGGAATTTTATGGTTGGTGACTACACCAGATAAATCAGAAAGAGTCATAGGGAGCCAAAATGTGGGGGGGTTTCACCAAATTTTAGCTAACAAATACCAAAAGGCAGTCATTTGGGGTTAAACAAAACTAAAATGCTTTGCTTGATTTGAAAGACCTTTTAAACTATTCACAAACTTTTTTTTTTAATAATTGAAGCCCAGTTTAAATTAAATTAAAAAAAAAAAAAAGAAGAAAAAGACAGTACAAAATCAAAATGATCTTTCACTAACGTAATTTTTCACTTTAAAAAAAAAACATTTTTCAAAGTGTCCTCTTCTCCCTTTCTCCCTGAATTTGATGTTGCCTTTGCTTTGGGGTTGTTGTGGTATTTTTTCTGACTGATTTGATCTGCTTTGAACTTCTCTCTTGCCCAATCAGATACAGTTTTTTGAGGGAGAGCACCTGACAAAAAACAGCCAACATGGCTTTCATTTGCCTGGTCTCAGAGTATGACAGCAATCATGCAACTGGGAAAGCTCCCACCTCCCAACTCCTTCCACATCAAAGATGTGGATCTATTCCTGCTATAAGCCCTTGCTAATTAATTAGAAGCTACACAGAGCATTTAATATCCAACTTGGATCCTCACTGGGAGTTGCACTCATCTAACCAAAGGCAGAATTTGACTCTGACTTTAAACCTGTGCCTCACTTTTACGTTTATTACTGAGTTTTCATACATTAGTTTGGAGGGAGGATGAAGGAATACTTTAAACTTACTCCATTCTTAAAATCATGCAGAGATCTCATAATTTCTCTAATAATTTTCCAGTAACCTTGTAAGAATTTTCAGCAACCTACGTGAGAATACAAGAAGGCACCAAAGTTCAGGTTATGAGAGCCCCATCTTACCGTTTCTGTTGCTGCTGTTGTTTCAGCCAGAGCACTCACACTTAGCATGAGGAGCAGCACAGCCACCTGTATGCACTTCATCTTCTCAGCCAGCAGATGTGACAGCAAAGGGAGAAAGGATGTCTTTTATAGGAGAATCTGGGGATTTCCCCAACCAAACCTTAAGGAACTTGTACGTTGTTTTTTTTTTTTTTTAGGTTTTGGAGAAGTGATGTCATAAACTCCTATAATAACAGGTGCCAAATTACTAACGTACAAAGAACATGAGTTACCCTCATAAATTATTTACGTCCAGTTTTCTTACAGCATACCTTTCCCATACAGTACAGTATCTGATTTTAATCTTGGTTATGCAGAAAATCAGATATTTATTTGCTATGACAGGTAGACAGATATTTCCCTTAAAGTGACTCCATTATAAACATTCTTATAGATTCCTTCAAAGTTATGTAGGCAATACAGGTCTTGGTGGTATTTATTACTTCTTATATGTACAGAGGAGAGCAGATCAGGCTAAACAGTTCACACACCAGAACCATGTTCCCTTTTTTACAAAGGCCAACAGACCTTTGCCAATAAGTAGAATACACATTGTTCTCTACAGCTTTTCAGTTCCCTTTATTCTCACATAGCACAAGTGAGACACAGACTATCTCCCATTTCCTTCCCAGCAGTCTTACATCTCATATATTAACACTATGTACCCTTTAATGTTTGCTCCTGTATTAACACTGTGTACCCATCACTGCTTACTCAGTTGCACTCTTTTCATGGAGCTGCATGCTACCTGACCACAATGATTCACCGTCCTGTCTCTAGAGCACTGACCCAGAGAGATGAAAAAGGGCCACACAGAATTAGTGTGGCCTCCACTTTTCCCGGCTGTGCTGCACCGCCGTGAGCTGCCTGCAGTTCCCAAGGCACTCAACCCACCACTGGAACTCCCCATTTCCAACAAGTTACTACCTTGGCAGAGTCAGCTGCAAGCCTCCATATGGTGCAAAAGAAATTAAAGTTTCTCAGGTTCTGTGGACTACTGGGAAAATAAGCTTGGTGTTAGGAAGGAAGGTTCTAGTAAGGACTAAGGAAACAGTCATGTCTGTGCACTTGTAAAGAAGTCCCTAGATCAAAACATGACCCTGACCAAAATAGCGTTTTCCTTTTCCTTCTTCATTTTGTCAGACTGAGTTCATCTACTAGGTCAGCAACAAAAGGCTATAGTTGTATCTAGGTGAAGAAAGTCATTAGGAGACCCTTACTCCCTTTCAGTGTTGGTGGGCAGAGGCAAGAGCAGAAGCAGCCGTACTTCTGAGCAGCAGTGCTACCTCATATGAAACTCACCTCCCTGGTAAGGAACTCTTAAGACTTGTGTTACCATAGCACTATCAGCTCCAGGTGGCGATGAGAAAGCTGAGGCTTAGGGCAAATCCATACTAGAAAACTCTTCAGAGGAGTCAAGTCCATTGAGGTAACACGTTTTTACCACAGCTTTGCATAAGCATAAGCCTCCTGACAGACTCACAAGGCTGGAAGGAGCATCTTGCAGAGTAAGGATATAATAAGTTCCTGCAAAAACATTTTTTCACAGCAGAAGCTGCACTTCTACTGGAGGATTTCATGGCTAATAATTCAATGTAAGATAGACAAGACCTGGAAGGCATGTGATAATGTGAAAGCAAAAAGAAACAGAGCCATACTGGTAGAGCAAGAAAATGAATCCAAGCCTCTTCCTCCCAGGTCACAGTGGTCTGCTTTCCTGGGGTAAATCACAGTGCTGTCCAGGGAATGGAGAAACTCAAGCTGTAAGTACAGTCAGGGCTCAAGCCCTTAGCTCCAGTGCGAGAGGAGCAGATTGGCCCAAGTCAGAGCAGCTGTAGGCTATGAAATATCATTTGCACCATAGGAAAAACACCTTGTCCACACCAGAGCAGATTTAAGGTGCAAACCAGCATAAACATATTGCAGACAATCAGTAAGCCTATGTTGCCACCAAGTTAATGCCCAGTTTACTCTCAGGTTGTGATATTGCATAAATGCCACTTCCTTCCCAGACTGTTTTGTGGAATGAACCAACTAATCTCCAAACAAAACTGAGAGAAGTTCTGGAAACAGATCACTCCCAAAAGGTGTCATGGATGAGGTTTTGTTCCTTATTAACCCTGCCTCGTCCTAACCAGTCCTCCAACTCCTAACATAAGCCCTTCTATGGAAATACCACTCTGGTGGGCTTCAACCCATCCTTCAGGTTATTTCTAGTGCTCCAAACAAAAAGAAAGGAAAAAAAAAAAAAAAACCAAACCCAACAAAACTACACAAACTCACACAGGAAGTTAATGATTGCATCTTAGCACCAAAGGACCAAGACGACACCTAAAATGACAAGTGTTTCATCATGTGGACACAAGAGAAACCACCTGGCTTAATGCAAAGGAACAAGCTCTGTGCAGCATACAAACAGGCCAGTTTTCCTGAGGACCAGGCATCGTTCCCAGAGGTGAATGCATTTAGCATCTGTATGCATGAAGACTCCAGATGGGCAGCATGCTCTGTGCCCCATCCATGCAACAACTCCTTGGCAGCCTACAAACTGCCCAAAGGCAGCTGGCTATGGCACTTACAAACCCGCTGGCCTTGCTGGGGCACCAGGAATACTGTTGGCTACAGGGAGGGCAACCTCGCAGCACACATGGCCACACTCGCAGGCTCCACTGTGTAGCAAGCAAGTGAAGTTCTGTAGGCAGCTTTGTGCTGTCAGCAAAGACAGCCTGCGAGTTTCCAGCCTGATATCTGATCAGGAGAAAAACCTGTTTTCTGAGCGTTACAGGGAGTCTCCA